GTAAAGGGAGCATAGGAGATAGGGAGAAGGGGGCTAGGGGAAGTTGGGGTGGAAGAAGGGTGGCTAAGAGGAGCTTAGGGGTGGGAGAAGGGACGGTTGAAGGAAGCTTGGGATAGGGGAAGGGAGAAGAGAGTTGAGATGGAAGAGAAGAAAGATTTGCTTAAGTGAATCCAAAATTAAACATCTAGTTTCTTACATAAATGAGAGAAAATTCATTTCCCTTATTTAAACTCTATGCATTCATGTTTCATTTTAACTTGTATGTGTTAATTTTTCTATCGTATTATAAACTTATTCTTTGTTACATTAGCATATAATTCTTATGATAATTTTATTTTTTTTATTTATATTAATGGTATGTTCATTTATTTGATTTTTTTTCTTTTTTTGCTATTCAATGGGGGTTAAAAAACTCAAAGTGTCCAAACATAAGAAGGGTAATAATGAAGAAGGACCCTTATCAAAATAAGAGGTAGCCTCATGAGAATCTAAGCCTACTTTGGCAAGCATATTAGAACATTTACCTCTCTTAAAATATGTCTGAATTTAATAAAAGGGATATATTTCAAAATACTCCTAATTGCAACAATCAGATGAAAGAATTGATGATTATAATTTTGAATACTCAACACTAAGTACAAGGTTTCCTTAGAGTCTGTTTCTATCTAAATTAAATGAATATTATTTTATATCACAAATTGCAGTCCAAAAAATATTCCCCACGACTCAATGTCTAAAAGGGAGCAAAAATTAAGTCCCCTATAATAACCAACTATAACTTGACCATGATTGTCTCTTATTAGACCCTCCCACATCCAGCACTTTCATGAGCCTTAGAAACTACACCATCTATATTAAGTTTCATATGATCTAGAGGAGGAGAATACCATCTTTCTTGACTTTGGTTATCCAGAAGATACTCAACCACTTTAGTCTTACCCCTGAAATGACAATTCAGATACTCAAAATTATAGTAAATTTTATTATATAAAGAACTAGGAAAACATATAAAAGTTGAAAAATGAAATTGTTTCTTTCCTTCTAAAGATGCCAAATTACAATGCCCAACAACCTGTTCCAATAGGGAAAATTGTTGAATTTAGGTAAGATAAAGTTGTTCCAGACTATTTTTGGCAAAACCAACAATCTTTAAGGACATGTATAACATCATAATGGTGTCAAATAAAACTAGATTTTTCAATTAAATTTGTAATATAGAGAACAAACCTAGGTTATCTCACAGGGACACTGACACGAGGTCGTACACAGGTCAAAATAAACCTAATTATTATAGTATGGGGTAAGCAACTAGGGTCGTTTCTCAAAGAATCACAATGGCAAATTAATCTATTTGGAAAGTGTATAAGACAGGTGGGGTTTGTTTATAAAGGAAATAAAAACGCACTTAATTATAATTAGAATAAAGAATGAACAGAAATTGAAATTCCAATCCAAGAATTAAGAAGAAAAATGACTACTCTATCACCGGATTTTTAAGAGAGTACATCAACAAACAATTCGGTAATTAACAATGAATCCGAATGAAACCTCAATTCAAACTCAGCATTCACATGAAGACCTTCATGCATTCGATTAGCACATAATTAATTAAAATTCAGAAAACTCTAGAACCTAATTGAATTGTACCAATTTAATTTACCAATGTCGTTAATCATAGTTTTCAAACGTGAAAATCCAATTCATGTTCCTTAAAACTCAATTACATACATCAATCAAATAATACATAATCAACCACATGCATAATCATCAATCCAAACGAATAACTTCAATTTGAAAATATAATTAGAAAAGGGAGAGAATAAGGAATAGATGAAACCCAAAATTATTATTGAATTTATGCCAATGTGCGATCAATCAATCCTCAAGAGTGTCACATCTCTTTTAATCCTTGAATCAGATGTGAATCTAAGCCTCCATGGATGGAGGGAAATAATTCATGAAAGGGGAAAAAAAATGAAAACAGAGAGAAGAGAGAGGAAGAAGAAAAGTGAGGAGCCAAAAAAAAAACAACTTAAAATTCAAAATTTCGTTTGTCACTTTGTTCCATTTTTTTGGCTATGAAAATGGCTTCGTTTTGGTTCGTGTCCTGAAGAATAATTGTATCCTTGAATGTTAGCTTCAAAACGCCACTGGAATGGGCTTAATCGGACATCTGTGAACTGAGATATGGCCCAAATACTGCACCTTGCTTAGGATCCGCGACTGCAGCGTTTCAACTTCTTCCAGGCCCAGTTTCAGCTTCTTATCATCAGAATTGGTTTTTGACCTCCCATAGCAATTGTGCACCTTTCTCTTAGCTTTCCTACAAATTAAGAATCAAAATGAAAGGAGTTCTACAACTCAAGATATGGTCCAGAAACCAAAACAGTATCAAAATTTGCCAAATACTGGAAAAATTAAATAAAGCCCAAATAGAATCCAAACATCATAAAATGATCCAATTCAACCAATTAGGCACAAAAGAGGATTAATGAGCTAGGAATTAGAGGAAATAATGTTATAAAAATCCAATTGATCAAATTCCCCCACACTTAGCTCTTGCATGTCCTCATGTAAGACACAATCAAGCAAATAAAAACATGTAACCTAAAAAATCATAAAATAATCAAAACAAATAAACAAATTCTCCAGTGAATTCTTAGAAGTGCTGAACTTAGGGATACAAGATCAAATAAAGCATCAATAGTTCTACAACAATCAAACATCCAATTCCCAACCTCTCAAAAATGCAAGCCAAGCAATATCATTCAAAGTGTATAGATCAAGCATGAAAGATCTCACAAGATGGTGTATACAACTCAACTCTCAAGTGTATGGTTCAAAGTGTTTCACTCAAGTCACCTCAAAAGACAATGCATTATCATAAGCTTGTTAATCTTCTACTTCTCCACTACTTACAATCATATGCAAACACAAATCAAGAGGACTTTATTCAATGGTTGTAATGGGGCTAAGGTAAGGGTAGGGAAATATAAGGATATGACAAGATATGATCGAAGAGAATAGGAATAACATTGGTCCTTAGACAAATTAAGCCATAACACACATTTATTCTCCTTGAACTTCCTTTTCCCTTCATCAAAATTTCCCATTTTCTTTGTAATAATTTTTTTTTATTTCTTTTATTTCTTTTTCTTCATTTTTTTTTTTTTTGCATTCTTTCTGAACCCCCACACTTGAAATGCAATAACATTAATGAAACCAATGCACTCCCTATTTCCTAAGGTTAGGTATAACATGGTTTTCCACTTAAAGCTTATAATGTGCTAGAAGCCAAAGAATGGTCAATAAGGCTCAAAGGGGCTAAACAAAGGGCAAAATGCAAGGTAAGCTATATGGCCAAGTGGGTAAAAATTTGAAAGAAATGCCTCTATCATATTCATAATTGCATATGAAAATTGTAGCCTCAAAGAAGAATCAAAACAAGTTCTAGAATGACAAAATCTAAGAGGGAAAACACACAAGAAAGAAAAGAATGGCATGAATTTTAACCATCCAAAAATAAGGCTCAAAAGCTCACAAAGGTAAAGTCTAACATACTCGATCATACAAATCAAATTCAATCACCCAATTCACATATATCAAGAGGAAGAAGTAATAATAAAATCATGTAGGAACTCTATCCTCCTTAATAACTAATGCCTTAACTCAATAACTTCTAATTCAACAAAGGAAAACAAAACAAAAACAAAAACAATGCTAAATAATAAAGTTACTCCCCCCCACACTTCAACTTTACATTGTCCTCAATGTAATGTATAATGGAAATGTAAAATATAGTAAAGAAAAGGCAGAGGGGAACTCCCTAATCAAGCATAAGTGGCCGCTAGCAAGTGGACCTCCTCAATGGTCTCCAAGGGTGTGTCTTCATGAAAAGGCTTCAAGCGGTGGCCATTCACTGTGAATACTTTATCTGTTCCAGGCTCCAAAATCTGTATAGCACCATATGGAAAAATCTTAGTTACTATATAAGGGCCAAGCCACCTAGAACAAAGCTTACCTGAAAAGAGCTTGAGGCGAGAATTGTAGAGAAGCACTTTCTGGCCTATGGAGAATTCCTTTCACAACAACATCTTATCATGAATGAGTTTTGTCTTTTCTTTGTACATGCGGGAGTTCTCATAGGCTTCCAACCGAATCTCCTCTAACTCCTAAAGTTGGAACTTCCTGTGAAGTCCGGACTGGCTCATATCAAAGTTACAGTTCTTAACTGCCCAATATGCTTTGTGCTCAATTTCCACCGGAAGGTGGCATACCTTGCCAAAGACAATTCTATAGGGAGACATTCCCAAAGGGGTCTTATAGGCGGTGCGGTAAGCCCATAGTGCATCTTCAAGTCTCTTGCTCCAATCCTTCCTGTTTGTCTGAACTGTTTTCTCCAGAATATGTTTCAGCTCCCTATTTGATACCTCTGCCTGTCCATTAGTCTGCAGATGGTATGGAGTTGAAACCTTGTGAGTGACACTATATTTCTTTAGTAGGGATGCCATGTTCCTGTTACAGAAATGGTTCCCTTGATCAGTGATGATTGCCCGAGGTACTCCGAACCTGCAAAGAATGTGTGATTTGACAAAATCTACAACAACATGAGAGTCATCAGTTTGGGTGGCCTTGGCCTCCACCCACTTGGAGACATAATCAACAACCAACAAAATATAAACAAAACCAAATGAAACAGGAAATGGACTCATAAAATCAATACCCCAAACATCAAATATCTCACAAAACAATAATGGTTGTTGAGGCATTTCATTTCTACGGGAGATAGTACCCGTCTTCTGACATTGTTCACAATTCTTACAATAGGTGTAAGAATCTCGAAACAATGTGGGCTAGTAAAAACCTGCATCTAAGATCTTCCTAGCAGTGCGTTGTGGCCCAAAGTGACCACCACAAGCAAGTGTATGACAAAAATGCAAAATGGAAGAAATCTCAAGCTCATGCACACAGCGCCTAATAATCTGATCACTACACATGCGTCACAAATAAGGATCATCCCAGACATAATATTTAGCCTCACTCCTAAGTTTCTCTATCTGATGCTTTTTAAAATAAGCAGGCAATTCAGAGGCAACTAGATAGTTAACCAAGTCAGCATACCACGGGTCCTTACCTCGCAGCTCTAAAAGCTGCTTATCTGGAAAGTTCTCACGGATAGGTAAAGGCTCCAAAGTCTGTGGAATTCAACTTAAGTGGTCCGTCACCAGGTTCTCAACTCCACTCTTATCCTTGATCTCTATGTCAAACTCCTGCAACAACAACATCCATCTGATGAGTCTGGGCTTAGCATCTGGCTTCTTCAATAGGAACTTCAATGCTGCATGATCAGAGAAAACAGTCACTTTAGTTCCTAACAAATAAGCACGAAATTTATCTAAAGCAAAAATGATAGCCAGAAGCTCTTTTTCTGTAGTGGTGTAGTTAGCCTATGCAGAATCCAGAGTCCGGGAAGCATATGCTATGACATGAGGGGTCTTTCCAATTCTCTGGGAAAGTACAGCTCCAACTGTAAGGTTTGATGCATCACACATGAGCTCAAACGGATACTCCCAGTTCGGTGACTATAGGACAGGAGCAGAAATTAGGTGCCGCTTCAATTGATCAAAAGCTCTTCTGCACTCATCATCAAACTGGAAATCTATATCCTTCTGCAGAAGCTTAGAAAGTGGAAGGGTGATTTTACTGAAATCCTGGATAAATCGCCTGTAGAAACCTGCATGACCAAGAAAAGAACGCACTTCCCGTACACATGTAGGGTAAGGTAAAGAAGCAATAACATCAATCTTGGAACTATCAACAACTATACCCTCACCAGAAATAACATCTCCTAAGACTACACCTTGCCTAACCATAAAATGACACTTTTCATAATTCAAAACAAGGTGAGACTCAACACATCTCTTCAATACCCTAGCAAGGCTATCCAAGCATGCATCAAATGAAGTACCATAAACAGTAAAATCATCCATGAAGACTTCCATGCAATTCTCTAGAAAATCAGAAAAAATGCTCACCATGCATCTCTGAAATGTACCTGGGGCATTGCATAGACCGAAAGGCATCCTTCGGTATGCAAATGTACCGAATGGACAGGTGAAGGTTGTCTTCTCTTGATCCTCAGGTGCAATGTGAATCTGAAAATAACCAGAGAATCCATCAAGAAAACAGTAATGTGACTAACTTGCCAATCTTTCCAACATCTGATCAATGAAGGGTAATGGGAAGTGGTCCTTCCTGGTGGCCTGGTTCAGCTTCCTGTAATCAATACAGACCCTCTAGCTATTCTACACTCTTGTGGGAACTAGCTCATCCTTCGAGTTCTTTACTACTATTATTCCGGTCTTTTTTGGAACCACTTGCACCGGGCTCACCCACTTACTGTCTGAAGTTAGGTAAATGATGCCAGCAGCTAGAAGCTTGCTGACTTCTTCTTGACCACAACCAGAATCAGAGGGCTCAATCTCCTCTGAGGCTGCCTCACTAGTTTTACTCCCTCCTCTAACTGAATTCTGTGCATGCATGTGGAGGGGCTAATCCTAGGTATGTTAGCCAATGTCCAGCCTAAAGCATTTATGTTCTGCCTCAGAATGTTTAGCAACTGCTCTTCTTGTTCTGGTTGCAAATCCTGGGCTATAATGACTGGTAGCTTCTCATTTGGTGCCAAGAATACATACTTCAAATTTTCTGGTAAAGGTTTCAGCTCCAAGGTGGGTGGCTCTTGTATAGAGGGTGCTAATCTTGGAATTTGCTCTGTTTTTCTAATCTCTGTACCTGCAACGTGTGAAAAATCTTACACGAGCATTATCATATCCCACAACAGAAAGATTAGCATAAGAGTTATTTTTGCACCCCACAGAATAATCAAAATGTGCACAATCAGTATTTTCCACTATTGCAAAACTAGAATCAGAATCTGTTCTAATAACATCATAACTTAAACTTCCAAGATCAACATGTAAATTCTGTGCAGACTCTGAACCATATATGCCATGTGTTAAATTCGTCACAAACAGCACATAAATCATGAATTCCATCACAATCTGAACATTGAAAGTCATCTCTAATGCCTACAATTTCAGGAAACTCAGCACACAAATTCTAATGCATATCACCAACCAATGTATCAATGATGTCTAAATGAAACACAGAATGCTCTTCTGGTGGATATCTTATGGCATCATGCAATTTAAAATGCACCTTGTTATCTCTAAATTCCATGGATAAAGTACCAGAGTGTACATCAATCTTAGTTTTAGCAGTTTTCAAAAATGGCCTACCTAAGATCAATGTTGGTTGATTAACATCATTCTCCATGTTTAACACATAAAAATCAGTAGGAAAAATAAGATCATTTACTCTTACCAACACGTCTTCTAAAACTCCCTCAGGGTGTGTTGTGCTTCGGTTGGCAAGTTGGATCACCACTCCCGTTGGCCTGAGCTTTCCAATGTGCAAAGATTGGTAGACTGATTTGGGCATCACATTGATTGAAGGTCCAAGGTCCAACATGGCTTGACTGAATTGCTCGCTTCCTATGATGCATGGAATGGTGAAAGTCCCAGGATCCTTGCATTTTGGAGGAATGCTTGACTGAATGATGGCAGAAACATTTCTGCCCATGCTCACTTTTTCATTTCCCTTTAGCCGTCTTCTATGAGTGCACAAGTCCTTGAGAAACTTGGCATACTTTGGAATCTGTTTGATAGCTTCTAGGAGTGGAATATTGACTTCAACTTTCCTAAAAGTTTCCATGATCTCCTTGTCCATTTCTGCCTCTGTTATCTTCTTGTTTTGAGTCACTCTATTTGGAAAAGGCAGCGGAATGTTTGGTTCAGAATGGCTACTGTCTCTCTTGCTGGATGGCTCTGGTTGCTCTTCAGTTGCATCTATCTCTGCAGAAGTTGATTTTTATGCTGCAGCATTTGGAACTTCAAGCCGCTTGCCACTTCTCAAAGTGATGACGCTCACATTCCTTGGATTACTCACGAATTGGGAGGGAAGGTTGCCAGAACCTTGGGATTTCAGCTCATTTACTGTTGTAGCCAACTGACCAATCTGTGTTTACAGATTCTGGATGCTGGCTTCTGTTCTCTGCTGAAACTGGACACTGCTGGTTGCCATCTGCTTTACCAAATCTGCTAGACTCGGTTCTGAGCTACTGCTTTGTTGTTGGTCTAGTTTAGCTTGCTGTGAATATTGCTGCCTCACGTTTGGTTCTGCAGCATGGTGCCTGAACTGATATTGAGGTTGTTGTTGCTGCTGCTGGAACTGATTAGAATTACCATACCTCAGATTCGGGTGATCTCTCCATCCGGGATTGTATGTATTGGAAAATGGGTCATAATTCCTTTGCTGCTGCTGTTGGAAAGGTTTTCCAAGAAAAATTTTAGCAACTATTTCATTGGTTTCTTGCATCTGTGGACATTGATCTGTTGCGTGACCTGGTACACAGCAAATTCCACAAATGCTTGCTGGAATGGACTGCTGAGGTTGTTGTGTCTGACCGAATGCCAAATGCCTCACAAAAGTTGTCAACTTTTCTATTCTGTTCTCCATCCTTTGCTGGTTTGTATCAGAGGTCTTTACTTCATTCACTCCTCTTATAGACACCATGGCTCGGGTACCAAACTGTTGTGCATTGGCAGCCATGTTTGTAATCAATTCACGAGCTGCAGTGGGAGTTTTGTCTATCAGATCCCCTCCAGAAGCAGCATCAACCATACTTCTGTCCATTAGCATAAAACCTTCGTAAAAATATTGAATGAGGAGCTGGTCGCTGATTTGATGGTGTGGACAACTTGCACACAATTTCTTGAACCTCTCTCAATACTCATGTAGAGTCTCTCCAGTAATCTGCCTTATGCCACAAATTTCTTTCCTAATAAAAGCAGCTCTTGAGGCAGGGAAGAACTTCTCTAAGAACATCCTATTCATGTCCTTCCAGCTTGTGATGGAACCAGGATGCAAGTAGTACAACCAATCCTTGGCAGATCCATCCAAAGAAAAAGGAAATGCCCTCAGCTTGATATGGTCCTCCTCCACTCCATGCGGTTTCATGGTTGAGCACACCACATAGAATTCCTTCAAGTGCCTGTGAGGGTCTTCACCAGCTAAACCATGAAACTTGGGCAGCAGGTGTATCAGCCCTGACTTGAGCTCAAAGTCTGCATCCAAATTCGGATACTGAATTGCCAAAGCGTGATAGTTAACATCAGGTGCTGCAAGTTCCTTCAAAGTTCTATTAGCCATATTAATAATATCCTCGGAATCAAAATGCACAAAAACAGAATGATTAACATTACTAATAGAACCTACACTATTATCACATTGAAATCAGAATGCACAAAAACAGAATGATTAACCCTACTAATAAAACCTACACTGTTATCAACTTGAATATTAGTAAAGGTAAGCCTTTTATGTGTTCTAATTAAATGATGAAATGTCCTATCAATTTCAGAATTAAAAGGATGCAATTCACCAGGCTTAGCTCATGTCATGCAACATCAGACACATAAGAATGATAGACACACAATATGCCGACAGAATGCTAATAGGGAAATAAAACCAACGAAATAATTTTTTTAAAATATAGGACCACCACAGAAGTACTAGAAATAAAATTTCCTATTTTTGAAATTTTTTTCACTATTTTTAAAATCCTAGAATATTAAAAAAATTGAACAAGTGATCTAAACGATGGAATTTTGGAATTTAAGGGGTGCACCACTCAATTTAGTCCCTAAATTGTGTGGTATTGATCCCTGAATTTTTCTGTAATGTCTGACCAAGTTTCAGCTCAATCCGAGTTAGTCGCTAAAAAAATTATCTTTTTACCTTTTTGTAGAAAAACACCTACCAGATGAAGGAATTTATAGGAGCTCCTTTGGACAAAGCTGATCAGCGTGATGAATGCTATTTGGACACCAAAATTCAGCCTCAAACTCCAAAGTCGAACTGGTAGTGAAATTTCTGCCTACAAGACTCACAATAAATACCTCAATGCAAAAACGCTAGACACAGAACGCAAAACACACTAAGGAAGATTAACACTCTAAATATGTTAAAAATGCCAGTGATTCTCTGGCAACAGTGCCAATTTGACACGAGATCGTACACGGGTCAAAATAAACCTAATTACTATAGTACGGAGTAAGCAACTAGGGTCGTTTCTCAAAGAATCACAATGGCAAATTAATCTATTTGGAGAGTGTATAAGACGGGTGGAGTTTGTTTATAAAGGAAACAAAAATGCACTTAATTATAATTAGAATAAAGAATGAACAGAAATTGAAATTCAAATCCAAGAATTAAGAAGAAAAATGACTACTCTATCATCGGATTTTTAAGAGAGTACATCAACAAACAATTCGGTAATTAACAATGAATCCGAATGAAACCTCAATTCGAACTCAGCATTCATATGAAGACCTTCATGCATTCGATTAGCACATAATTAATTAAAATTCAGAAAACTCTAGAACCTAATTGAATTGTGCCAATTTAATTTACCAATGTCGTTAATCGTAGTTTTCAAACCTGAAAATCCAATTCATGTTCCCTAAAACTCAATTACATACATCAATTGAATAATACGTAATTAACCACATGCATAATCATCAATCCAAACGAATAACTTCAATTCGAAAATATAATTAACAAAAGGGAGAGAATAAGGAATAGATGAAACCCAAAATTGTTTTGAATTTATGCCAATGTGCGATCAATCAATCCTCAAGAGTGTCACATCTCTTTTAATCCTTGAATCAGATGAGAATCTAAGCCTACATGGATGGAGGGAAACAATATATGAAAGGGGAAAAAAAACGAAAACAGAGAGAAGAGAGAGGAAGAAGAAAAGTGAGGAGCCAAAAAAAAAAAAACTTAAAATTCAAAATTCCAAATTCAAAATTTTGTTCGTCACTTTGTTCCATTTTTTTTGCTATTAAAACGGCCTCTTTTTGGTTCGTGGCCTAAAGGACAATTTTATCCTTGGATGTTAGCTTCAAAACGCCACTGGAATAGGCTTAATTAGATATCTGTGAACTGAGATATGGCCCAAATACTGCACCTTGCTCAGGATCCGCGACTGTAGCGTTTCAACTTCTTCTAGGCCCAGTTTCATCTTCTTATCATCAGAATTGGTTTCTGACCTCTTCATAGCAATTGTGCACCTTTCTCTTAGCTTTCCTACAAATCAAGAATCAAAATGAAAGGAGTTTTACAACTCAAGATATGTTCCAGAATCCAAAGCAGTATCAAAATTTGCCAAATACTGAAAAAATTAAATAAAGCTCAAATAGAATCCAAACATCATAAAATGATCTAATTCAACCAATTAGGCACAAAAGAGGATTAATGAGCATGGAATTAGAGGAAATAATGTTATAAAAATCCAATTGATCAGACACAAAAGGTTTGCTTTCTCCATAGGTTTGCTTTCCTGGAATAGTTTCAACTAGTGACCATTAACTTTAAAAACTCTGTCAGTAGCTTCCTCCTTAATTTCAACAACACCATGAGAAAAACTATTAGTAATCACAAAAGGTCCATCCTATCTAGATCGAAACTTACCTGCAATTAGTTTCAAACGAGAGTTAAACAGTAACACTTTCTGTCCCAGAGAGAACTCTTTCCTCAGAATTTTTATAGCATGGAATTTTTTGACTTTTTCTTTATACATCCTAGAGTTCTCATAGGCCTGTAAGGTATCTCATCAAGCTCCTAAATTTGAAGTTTTCTTTCTTTTCCAACCTGCTCAAGTGTCATGTTACAACTCTTCACTGCCCAATATGATCGATGCTTAATTTCTACTGGAAGGTGACATGTTTTACCAAACACTACATGAAATGGAGACATGCCTAGTGGTGTCCGATAAAATGTTCTCTGAGCCCAAAAAGCATCATCCAGTAACTTACTTTAGTCTTTCCTGTTAGGGTGAACCAACTTTTGCAATAGATGCTTGACTTCTCTATTAAATACCTCAACTTGCCCATTAGTTTGGGGATGATATGGTGTAGCAATTCTGTATCTCACCCCATACTTCTGAAACAATGCTGCTATGGTCCTGTTACAAAAGTGGCTTCCCTAATCACTAATGACAACCTTAGGCACACTAAACTTGCAAAATATGTTAGTCTAGAGAAAATCTGAAACAACCCTAGAATCGTTAGTCCTGGTGGCCTTTGCCTCTACCCATCTGGAAACATAATCAACAGCAAGTAAAATGTAAGAATATATAGAAGAAACAAGAAAAGGACCCATGAAATCCATACCCCAAACATCAAAAATCTCATAGAAGATAATAGGCTACTGAGGTATCTCATTCCTCTAGGTGATGGTCCCTCCTGCTTTCTGACATATATCACAGCTCTCAGAAAATCTGGGTGCATCCCTAAAGATGGTGGGATAGAATCCGTTGTCCAATACCCTCCTAGCTGTCCTTTGTGGTCCAAGATGGCCTCCTACAGATGTGTTATGATAGAAATGTAGAATATCCTAAAACTCATGGTCAGGAACACACTTACGGATAACCTGATCACTTCAAAATTTTCACAGATATGGATCATCCCAAATATAATATTTAGCATCACTTTTAAGCTTATTAACCTGAGATTTAGATGCATAAGGAGGTACAACAGAAGTAACCAAATAATTAACAATATCTGCAAAACAAGGTACAGAATCTACAGAGTACAGAGCAAACAGATAATCATCAGGAAAGTGATCACGAATGAGTAAAGGATTTGTTATCCCTTTAATACGGC